TACCACCCTCAGGGCCAGGGTCTCGTCGAGCGATTCAATCACACGATCGTCCACATGCTCAAGACCTATGCGAATGATCTGCAGTCAGATTGGGACACTATCTATCCCGACTACTATTTGCCTTCCGCACCTCACACCAAGAAACTCTGGGGGATTCGCCTTCCTTTTGCCTATTTGGACGCGACCCCACACTTCTCCTCGACCTCGCGTTTCTTAACGTAGACACCGCATGGAAATCCGACGATCTGCCACAACATAAGCGACGCCTAGCTGCGTCCTGGAAGGAGACTCAATATTCAAAAAAGATTACATCGTTGAATAGAGGATAGTATTTTTCTTTCAGCTCGCTTGTTGAGCAGCAACTCATCGCGAGACAGAACAAAAACGCGAAGGCCAAGTCAGGCCAGAAGCACGTCTATTATGACGACCAAACGGCGGTCTGGTTGTACAAATACTTCGCCAGGTCGGGCGACCCAAATGATCACCGGTCCAGCAAACTAGTATGCCACTGGCATGGACCCTATCGGATTGACCGAACGATGAGGCCGAACACATACAAAATCGACATAACCACGCACCCAGACACTATGTTGACGGTCAATGTAGACAGGCTCAAACCCTTTCGCGGCTATTACTCTCGGCCTTTCAACGACGACGTTCCGTAGGACGACTCCCCGATCGACGAGCTCACGGTCGATTGTCTGCCGGAATCCAGTTTCACTAGCCGATTGACCTTCAGCGACAAGGATGTCGCCTACACCTCCTCGGGTTCCCCCATCCCCCAATCCTGCAAACCAGAAATACCTGGTCGAGTACGTGGACGGCGTTAACACTGGACCCGCGAGTCCAAGCTGCAAGACTACAGGACTTACATTGACTGCTATGAGAATGAGCGGAGGATGTCACAGGGCTTGCCACCCCTACGGAGTTCCCGTCGGTTTGTCGACCTCGACGAGGAGCAGACGCAAAACGTACTATTCTAGTCAAGGAGAGTGCTCGAAAACCGACGTCTGACGCTGGATTACAAGGCGTCGCTTCGATCTTCTCTGTGCCACCCGACCTTTGAGCTGTCCCAACCTAGAGGCCGATCTCGACTAGCCTCCCCTCTCACTAGCAGCCTTGTTGCTCGTTCTCGACCAAACAAGCTGTGAACATGACGTGGAGAGCCAGAATCAAGCAAGTATTAGCACGCCTACAAAGTAATGGCCGACGACGGCGATCCGCCTCCTGGCAGCCCGGATATGCCCGAACCCACTACGGCTGAGTGATCCGACAACAACTCGACCCGCTGATGGTCAGGCAACACTGCGTAGCGCCCGGTCTGGTTCTTCTCGGTCGTAGACTGTTCCCGGAGCCAACACGGAGGACAGAAAATGCCTTGACTGTCGTGCCGGACGTATGGAAATGGCGCCGTCCGACGGGCCCATCCTCGTGATCCCGCTGTCTCAAATAACTCCCCGCACCACGCAAAGCCCTTGGAGTGAGTGTCGCGGGCCCACACTAGCACGTCCCCAAGCCCAATTCCTATCGAGATTCGAGGCCACGTCGGGCGAACACGAATATTGGCTGAACTTGGTGCGTGACATGAATTCTGGGAAAGCCGCGAAGTCGGGCCAACGCTTCGATCCGTTGAGTGCCAAATAGTCGAGTACGACATCCGACCCGCGCACTGCTTCTAACATTTTCAGCGAACACGGCTCATGGGCCAGCTCAGCCCAGAAAGGGTGAGGATTACCATACAGGTACTGGAAGACACTGTGCCCTTCCATGCGATACAAGTCCGTCACCAGGAGCAGCCACGCCTTCTTGGCGCGGCTCAGGTCCGCCTTGGGATGGTTCGCGGATTGATCAACCTAAAGACGATGCTTAAAGGCTCATGGCAAAGGCGTAGCTGACTCACCACGTAGCCTGCCTCGCGGTAATGCCCATACCCGATCCAGAAATATCGAGACCACACCACCTTGGCATGTCGTTCCCAAAATTGCCGCAATCGCTGGTTTCAATCTCGCTGGACCACTGTCACACCCTGCAGGAAGGACTGAAAGGACTTGACCCAACGTTGCCACGGCTTGGAATACCGCAACTTCAGATACGCTTACTTTGCCGCGTCAGACATCTTTACGTGGTCCAGTCGCTTCAACGCCTCGGCATCAAGCACGATTGGGGCCCGAGGAGTGCTGGGAGCGACCGACCTTGGCTTTACCAGACTCTCGACCTCGCGCTTCTGACCGCGCTTCGGCGTCGACTCAACTTCGACTTCGTCATCGGAATCTGGTGGAGAAGTGCGAGGGGCCGACAGGTCATCGTCACTGCTGCTATCGAAGTTGGCTTGTTCGAGAGCAAACATCTCGAACGACGCTTGAAACAGCCGCTGTCGACGTGGATCGCGCGCGGTCAACCGCAACACGAAGTCCTTGTACTTCTCGTAGATGTCGGACGAAGTAAAAGCTTCCGCATTGGTCACTAGACTGCTCATTTCCACTGCACTCTGAAAGGCCGGTGAATCAGTCACGGCTCGTTCTTGCGCGAAGTTGGGGAGGTCGTCCGCGACGGACTGGATTTTGGATACTGCGTCCCGAGCTCGACACCAGCTGGTCAGGTTGGAGTGGACGAAGGCATTCAAAGTCCGACACGCAGCTGGAGCCCGTTCCCGTAGTTCACGGACACGAACGGATTCGTCCGGAGGTGTGGAAGACTGTCGGACTTCTGAAGCCGAAGGTTCCTCTGTGTCGGATTCGGAACTCGAAGGAGCCGGTTGTGTCGCCGTCGCAGATGAGCGAGTTGGGTGCGTCGCCATCGCAACGAGGCTAGTCCGAGAATGCCGCATGTAACCTGCTCTCACGAGATGACAAGTCAAGAATTGAAGCCGAACGAAAGGCTAGCACGACCTGGTCTACGATTGGTTAAATGGGGTGGATCAAGCCCGCCTGCAAATGAAGTCCATTCTCTGTCTGCTCGGACTGTGCACATTTCAACCAATACATCATCGTCGACTCCGTTGTTCGAATGAGGTCGAACTTCCAACGGGGGTTTATGACGATGATGGCCCTCCACAGTACTTGATGTATACTCCGGAGTATTCCTATAGCAAGGTTTCCCGTGTCAGTTGCTTTGGACGTTGCCAAAGCGTGCGTGCGATCATTGCATCACAGCGCTCACGTTTGATTCATTGCAGTAACGAGCCCCACTCATTCAATGCTTGCAATGTTTCACTATTTCAGGTCTCGGTCGAACCTCGGTTCTGGCCCCACGTGCAGGAATTTGTTTGAGACAAACCCGAAGTAGGGTTGGGGGATACTCGCATGGGGCCCCATAGACCGCATTCAATGAAATCCCTATTGGATTTGTCATCGATCTACCGACGTGAGCTCGGTAGCTGGCGTAGAGTGCCGGCCTGACGACGGTCGACGCAGAGGAAATATTCAAAGCAGTCGTCAGCGCATCGTGAAGCAAACTATCCGCCTCAACATTTGTGCAATCCCTGCATGGTCTGCTGCACAATCCATCCAAATCGAGTTAGCTGATCTCATATACACATACGTCAAGGCATCACC